ACGACGACCGCGACGACGACGACGACGATGACGATGACGGCGACAGCAACGACGAGGACGACGGCGACGTCGGCGGGCACGGCGACGACGACGGCGGCCACGACGGCGACGACGACGACGACGACGACGACCGCGACGACAACGGAAGCCGGAAACGGCCGAGAACCTCTCGTCGTGTTTTTCTCACGACGGGAGAGGTCTGTGGGGAGGGGAAAAGAGGGAGGGAGGGGCCTGGAGGTCGGGACGCCTTCCCCGGAACCAGCTTTGCATTTTCGTTTTTTGATGGTCCCGGGGCCGGCTGAAGGCCACCGGTGGCCGCAAACGGCCGCTAACCTCCCGTCGTGATCCTTCGATGAGGCGAGGGGGTCTGGGGGGAAGGGTGGCAAGAGGGAAGTGCCCGGTCTTCCGGCGCCGTGATTTTTTCGCTATCCGTCGGCTCCTGGAAGTTTGGCCCCTTCCACGCGACCAGCTTGCAATCCTGCCCAAGAGTTCCGATATCGTGATCTTTTAATGCGGGGTCCCGGGGGTGGCTCCGAGGTCCGGACATTTTTAATTTCGTCCTGTTTGACGGTCCCAGTGCCCGTAGGGGGCGCCAGGATGCCGAGAGTTGTCCGGAAGCCTCGGGATCGGCCAAAGTACCTCAGGGCGTCTGGGGAGAGGGCGATTGGGAGTCTCTTGGGGCTTCCTGGCGGCCCCTTGGGGCCCTCTGGGCCCGTCTTGGGCCCCCCCTGGGCAGTCGACCCTCTTGAGCCGTCTTAGAGGCCTCTTTGAGCTCTCTTTGGCCGTCCTGGGGCGATCTTGTCGGCTCCTGGGGCCGTCGTCGACGCGGTGGACGCCGAAGCGGCGAACATCGTAAAAACCAGTTGCGTACGGAAGTGGCGCTGCCTGTCCTGCCACGGCCAGCAGATCCCGAGGATGGCTTCCAGGATGTCTACCGAGCCTGAAAGGTCGGGAAATGGCCACGTCTGGGTGCGAGGTTCGCGCTTCATGAGCAGCATGATGATGAGCACGCAGCGGGCTTTTTCCGGGGACATGACTCGCTGGTCGGGGTCGGGCAGCTCCAGCTGCTTGCTCGGGATCCCACCCTGGCCCTTTAGGAGGTGAACCAGGGTTTCTAAGCCAGGGTACGCCAGGTGGCGCGGGTAAGTCCTGGTCCCTTTGGACCAGGCGTTGGGTACGTGGTACAGGAGGTTCTGGGAGGCGCAGCGGTTCTTATTCTGTGGTCTCCGAACGGCTCGTCCTTGGCCTTCAGGCCTCGGTGGCCCCGAGACAGCCCAGACGGCTCCCTGACATTCCAAACCCTGCGCCCCAAGATGGCCACAATATCCCCCAGATGCCCACGAAGCGCTCCCGAGAGGCCTCCAAGAGGTTCCCAAAAGGACGTAAGATTCTCCCCGGGAGCCCCCCAGAAGGCCCCCAGTAGCCCTCGAAGGAACCCACGAGACTAACCCGCAAATATCCGAACATGCATCCACGAAGCCTCTGATCTCCGAACCCAGGCATGGTGGCGGGATGGGCCGAAGGCCATTGCACTTGCAAGAGAGAGAGAGAGAGAGAGAGATGGATAGAAGGGAGAACCAGACTGGCCTCTCCCACTCCTCGCCGCCGCGGCCGACGACGCCGCCAGCCGTCGAGGTCGGTCGTCGTCTCCGCCGTCGTCGCCGCTCCCGCTGACGCCACCGTCGCCACTGCCGTTGCCGCCGCCATGGCCTCCAGCGGCCGTCGCCTCCGCTGCCGCCGCTGCCTCCGACGTGGACCGCTGTCGCCAGCGGCAGCCGCCGTCGCAGCCGCCGCGCTGGCGGCCGAGCGCTCTTTCCTGGGGCTGCGCCGCGCCCCGCCCCCGCGCGGGCGCAGCGATCCCGGGATGCTCCCGCCCGACCCGCCGCCGGGGCGCGCGGTGGCGGGGCCCCGCCGCTCTTCGCGGCAGGGCGCGCGCGCGCGCCCTACTGCTCGCCTGTCCCTGCCCCCCTTTGCCCGGACCCGCAGGGAGGGGAGGGAAACTGTCGGGCGAGGAGGGAGGAGGGAGGAGGGAGGAGGAGGGAGGAGGGAGCAGGGATGAGGGATGAGGAAGGGATGAGGAAGGGAGGAGGAAAGGAGGAGGAAGGGAGGAGGAAGGGAGGAGGGAGGAGGAGGAGAGGAGGAGGGGGGGGGAGGGGGAGGAGGGGGAGGAGGAGGAGGAGGAGGGAGGAGGAGGAGGAGGAGGAGGAGGAGGAGGAGGAGGAGGAGGAGGAGGAGGAGGAGGAGGAGGAGGAGGAGGAGGGGAGGAGGAGGAGGAGGAGGAGGAGGAGGAGGAGGGAGGAGGAGGAGGAGGAGCAGGATGGGGAGGGGCATGGGGGGAGGGGAAGGATGATGTTAGACTTGGGAGAGGCCTCTACAAAAGGCGGGGCAGGAGGAACGGAAGAGGATGGGAAGGGGGTGGGGCGAGACAGATGAGGAAGTACCTCTCGCACCGCCACCGCATACCTCCCATTATGTTCCTATTCCTTATCCTCCTCCGTCTCCTCCTCCTCCTCCTCCTCCTCCTCCTTCTCTCCCTCCTCCTCCTCCTCATCGTCGTCATCATCATCATCACCACCACCACCACCACCACCATCACCATCACCATCACCATCACCATCACCATCACCATCACCATCACCATCACCATCACCATCACCATCACCACCATCACCATCACCATCACCATCACCATCACCATCACCATCATCCATCACCATCACCATCACCATCACCATCACCATCATCACATCACCATCACCATCACCATCACCATCATCATCATCATCATCATCATCATCATCATCATCATCATCATCATCATCATCATCATCATCATCATCATCATCATCATCATCATCATCATCATCATCATCATCATCATCATCATCATCATCATCATCATCTCTTGATGGTCTGGTGGCAATCGGCGAAACGCTCAGACACTCTGCTCGCCACCATCACACGGAGCCCTGCCATATAATGGTAGTCGAAAGATGGCTGGCTCTTGGAGTTTCTTGTCGCCGACACGAGGACCCAGATTTCCGACGCCATGACTGTTGCAGAGCGCGGGCCCCGGAGCGCTCGACCTTTCCCGGGCACTGCGTTCTTATCCCGAGCCTTTGCTTGGCGGACTCGGGACCCCGAAAGCAGCTCCCAACTGCAAAAAAATATGACCCCCTGCCTGGGCTGATTCAAGCAATGCTTCCACTTCGGGATTCTCATGCGTTACCGTGAACGATCGGACCGACTTTCGGGGGGTCCGCTGGTGGCTCTGGCCATGGGCGCCTCGTGGGCGCCCCGTGCGCTGGCGAGGCTTTCGGCCGTTGACTGGCCGTGGGCGCCTCGTGGGCTCCACGCCGCACAGCTTACACCGCATAGCTTGCACCGCACAGCTTGCGCAAAACATCGTGCACCACGTAGCTTGCTCTACATAGCTTACACCACATGACTAGCTTGTGCCACATAGCCTGCACCAAGAAGCTTGGACCGCATACGTACCATATACACCACATAGCGTGCACCGCGTAGATAGCACACTCAGAGTGCAAGAAACCCCTGTTTAGGGTCCACGCTGGCACATATTTGTCAACGTTGAGGAATGGAGTCCCGCCCACAAGCAAAATCCCCGTCAAGATAACCCGTCGCCGCAACTGGGCCCTGGCTATCGGGTCTCGGGTTCACTGCTCGGATTGCTCGCGCCAGCCAGTGTAGTTTTCGCCCTGGGGGCAGCCACGCGAGGCGCATTCCACAATGATCCTCCGAAGCTGACAGGGGGAGCTCGTCGACATCTCCTCTCCCTGGACATCTGGCGGCCCGAACACATCGAGATGGCTGCTCTTGTCGCGATGTTGGGCCTTTGGAAATAGGCCTGGAGCCCAGAGGCCTTGGGACCCCTCATGCAAGAAGTCGAACAATCGTCGTGGCACGGCAGAAGCAATCCGCACGGCGCGCGCGGAGGAGCAGCGAGAGGGAGGTGAGGGGAAGGGAAGAGGGGAGGGGAGGGGAGGGGAGGGTGGGGGAGAGAGGGAGGGGATAGGGGAGGGAGGGAGGAAAAGGGGAGGGGAGGGGAGGGGGAAGGCTGAAAGCCTGGAAGGGAGGGGAGGGGAGGGAGGCGGAGGGAGTGGGAGGGGAGGGGGAGGGGCTGGGAAGGGGATGGGGAGGAGAAGTCCCGGGGCACATGCCTTCATTCAGACCGGGCCGCCAGCTTCCCCCCTCCTTCCTGCCCTGCTTGGCGGCGCCCACGGCCGGGGGTGGCGCGAGTGAGGCGACCCTACAAAGAGGGCGGAAGGACTTCTGCGAAGGCTTCTTGGAAGCCGGGCGGGCTTCTACGAAGCCCCCCCCCGCCTTCCCAGAAGCCCCGCCGCCTTCTCAGGAGCCCGCCCCTCTCGCGCCATCCTGGGGGGGGCGCCGCCCGCCGGTGCCTCCCCCGCCCTTGGCGCTCGCCCTCGCCGTCCCCGCCCCCCGCTCTGCTCTGCCCCCCCCCCCCCTTCGCTCCGAAGACCGAGCGCGCCAGATGTCCCCCTCGATTGGGCGGCACGTGCAGCGCTGCCCACCATGAATTCGCCATCTGGCAAGCGGAGCCTTCGCCTGCGAGGAGGGCGCGCGGGAAGCTCAGGCGCTTCCGCGCGCAAGCGGCTGGATCCACGATGGGAGCCGCACGAGCAGCTCGACGGGGGCGCTGCTCGACGCCCGCACAAGGCTTGGACGCCCCAGCGCGACCCGCGACCGCGCGCTCGCCGCGCAAGCACACTGCTGCAGGCTTGCACCAACCCAGAATCCCGACGTCATGCTTTCTGCCTCAATGTCGAACCCCAGAAATCTCGACCCATTCCCAAAACCCGCTTTTCATCCTGAGTCGCTTCTGCAGCAGACCTGGGGCCCGGCGAGGGCACTCAGAGGCCGAATTCGTGTGGAAAGCACACTCTGCTGTCTTGCTTTCGCTCACAACGCGATGGGGGTCTGGGAAGTGTGCACGCTTCTGTACGGGCTGATGCCGCGCATCAGAAGAGGCGCTCTGAACAGCCCCTCGCGAAACGCTTCTCGAGCACCGCAGCGGCCTCCGGAACTGCACCCTGCGCACGCGGCGGCCAGCGGCGCCCCGATCGGCTCCTCCGAGAGGGGCGGCACGGGGTGCCGAGCACCTCGTCGGCTTCCGCGCTGCCGCCCCGCTGGCGGCGCAGCGGGCGGCGCGGTGGCGTGCTGTCCGCGCGCGGCGGCGCTGCACCGTGCGCACGCGGCGGCCAGCGGCGCCCCGACCGGCTCCTCCGAGAGGGGCGGCACGGGGTGCCGAACACCTCGTCGGCTTCCGCGCTGCCGCCCCGCTGGCGGCGCAGCGGGCGGCGCGGCGGCGTGCTGTCCGCGCCCGGGGGCCACTCGGGGGAGGCGCCCCGCTGCCCCCACTGTGGGCGGAGCTGGCTCCCGAGCTCTGGGCTCGCCGGGCTGACGCCGTCGAGCGGCCACCCGCGCGCGCCCGCCTGGCGACGCCCAGTGAGCGCCCTGCGGTCCGGGCGGGCCCGCCGATGGCGGGGCCCGGAGTGGCTGCTGCAGTCGTCGCCGCTGCCGCCCGGGCTGGGGCAGCGACTGAGCCACTCCCGGTCGGTGCCGCTGAGGCCTCGCAGCGGCGTGCCGCTCTGGTCGTTGGCGCCCGGCGCGGGGCGGCTGCCGCGCCTGGCGCTGTGCGGGCTGCTCCGCTGGAGGGGGGCAGGGCGCCGGCGGGCCCGCTGCTCAGCGTGGAGGAACTCGTCCATGGTGACCCGCGGCCTCCGCCTCAGCTCCGGGCGCGCCCACTCGTCGCTCACGAAAGCGCTCGGCGCCCTGGGTGCCCAGGCGCTGCGCGCGCCCGCCCCCGCATGCAGCACGAGGGCCCACTTCTGGTCCCCGCGCGGTGCCTGCGCGGTGCTCTCGTCAGCGCTGCCGCCAGGGCCGCCGGGCGAGCTGTCGCCACGAGTCCGGCGGCAGCCTCTTGGATCGCTGCGCCTCTCCGCCGAGGCCGCCCGCCGGGGCGCGTCCATCAACGCACGGAGCTCGCGCGGCCTCCGCCGCGCGCCGCTGGCGGCGCGCCGCACCGGGCTGTCCTCGGAGGGTCCCGGCGCAGCCTCAGCCGCCGCGAGCAGCGGCACGACTTGGCCCGTGTCTGGGTCGAGGACAGGCTGCCGCGCCGTCGCCTCCTGCGGGGAGCCTGGAAGTGGGCACCGACACGGCCACCACTGCGGGCTGCCTCCACTCGGGGACGGTGATCCTGGATGCTGGTGCTGGTGGAAATCTCTCGGCCGTCTGAGTATTACCACCGTCGCCTGGATCAAGATCATCGTCCCTCGTGGATGCAACCGCCGATAACCGCGATGGGTCTGTAGAATCACCCAATATTTGAAAATTAACGATCGTTCCGGCGAACTTATTAACGGACCGGGGTCCCACCAATAGCGAGAAACAATCACTTATCAACGGCCCGGCTACAATCACGATTACACTCATGATTACAACCACGACTGTAACCACAATCGCTGATTCCTATTTCAATCCTTCCACAATGGATTGCTCCCTGGTATATAGATGCCCCCAACATTATCCCGCCCGCCCTATAGTAGAGGGAATCCCACCAGCCCTTTAGGGCGTAGGTGGTCTAGAGCGTTTCCTCTGCCAACCCCCCTTCTTTCCCTTCGGGGAGGGGTTTACCCCTCCCCTTACCCCTCCCCACTGACCTGGACGAGGCGTCCCGCGAGGTGTCAGGGACGCCCAAGATGGCTCAAGACGGCTCCAAGAGCGAAAAAGCGAGAAAGCACAAAACATTGATTTTCCTTAGGTTTTGGAAGGATTTTGGCCTCTTGGGGGGGCCCAAGAGGCGCTTCGAGGCACTCTAGAGGGGCAACCCTAATTGGAGCTCCCCCCTTCTTTGATAGATCTCCTCCAAGATGGCCCCAAGAGCGCCCCGAAGGCTCCCAAGAGCGCCCCAAGAGCGCCCCAAGAGGGCCCCGAGAGACCCCAAGAGGCCCCCAAGAAGCCTCTAAGAGGCTGCCAAGAGACCCCCAAGAGGCCCCAAGAGAGTTCAAGATGGCCCAAGACGGCTCCAAGAGCGAAAAGGCGAGAAAGCAAAAAACATTGATTTTCCTTAGGTTTTGGAAGGATTTTGGCCTCTTGGGGGGCCCAAGAGGCGACTCGAGGCACTCTAGAGGGGCAACGCTAATTGGGGACCCCCTCTTCTTTGATCGATCTCCTCCAAGATGGCCCCAAGAGCGCCCCGAAGGCTCCCAAGAGCGCCCCAAGAGCGCCCCAAGAGCGCCCCAAGAGGCCCCAAGAGGCGCCCAAGAGGCCTCCAAAAGGCTCCCAAGAGACCTCCAAGAGGCCCAAGAGGCTCCCAAGACGGCCCAAGACGGCTCCAAGAGCGAAAAGGCGAGAAAACACAAAACATTGATTTTACCTAGGTTTTGGAAAGATTTTGGCCTCAAGAAGGGCCCAAGAAGCGATTCGAGGCACTCTAGAGGGGCAGCGCTAATTGAGGACCCCCCCTTCTTTGATAGATCTCCTCCAAGATGGCCCCAAGAGCGCCTCGAAGAAGAGCGCCCCATTCCCCTCTAGGCCTCCAAGCTAATTGAGGACCCCCCCTTCTTTGATAGATCTCCTCCAAGATGGCCCCAAGAGCGCCTCGAAGGCTCCCAAGAGCGCCCCAAGAGCGCCCCAAGCCCCAAGAGGCCCCAAGAGGCCCCCAAGAGCCTCCAAGAGGCCCCCAAGAGACCCCCAAGAGGCCACAAGAGGCTCCCCGAGATACGCAAGAGGCCCCCGGGACCGCCAAGAGGCTCCAAAGACGGCCCAAGAGGCCTCCAAGCTCGCCATTGTCCTCCTCCTCCTCCTCTTTTTCTTCCTCCTCCCTCCTCCCCCTCCCCCTCCTCCTCCTCCTCCTCCTCCTCCTCCTTTTCCTCCTTCTCGTCCTCCTCGTCCTCGCAGTCCTCCATCTCCTCCTCCTTATCTTCCTCCTCCTCCTCCTCCTCCTGCTCCTCCTCCTGCTCCTCCTCCTGCTCCTCCTCTTCTCCTCCTACTCCGACGACGACGGCTCCTCCTACATCCTCCCCCTCTTGGGGTATATGGCGGCTCACCCCGCCCTCTGTTCTTCTGCATGCTCCCCCGCTTCCCTCATAACCTCCACTCCCCTGGGACTCATTTCTGGACGGGCTGGTGGGGATACGCGAAGCGTCTAGAATTTAATCTCCACCGCGACGGCGACGACAACGACAACGATGACGACTACGATTGCAACTACAACCACCACCACGATTACCACTAACCACAACTACAACCAATCATGACAAGCATCGCAACCACAATCATGACTACAACCACGACTACAGTCACAACTACTGATTCCTATTGTGATCCTCAGGAGAAAGTGCACACCCATCCCCACAGTGGATTGCTCCATGGGAGAAAGACCTCCCAGCATTACCCAGCCCGCCCGACAATAGAGGAAATCTAATCTTCGCCGCGACGACGAAAACGATGACTACGATTACGATAAAGACTACAGGGAGCAGCTGGAGGACGACGAGGAGGGGGAGCAGGAGGAGGAGGAGGAGGAGGAGGAGAAGGAGGAGGAGCAGCAGCAGCACGAAGAGGAGGGGCGAGTTTGTTCCCCGCCGAGAGAAGCAAGGGGGGGGATTCAAAACGAAAGACCTCCTGGGGTTACTAGGGCCTCCAAGATGGGGTCCGCAAATATCTAGAGCCAGATGGATCGCCGATGTCAGCGTGGAGAAAGTCTGGCTCCACATCGAGCCGCATCGTCGATCCATCAGCGATGGGGTACCATCCTCAGATCTCACCTACTCAGACCCCCACCTGAGTGACGAAAACAAGCGGGTCTTGCTCGCGATGACGTAGCAACCTTAAGCCGCGCCTTCCGAGGGCGATGACGCGTGACCTGATGCGGGCAGCTCGCGCGCTATGCCAGTACAGATGACCCCGTGCTCCTCCGTCGCTTATCTGGGAGGCTTGGACATACTGGTGCTGGTGAATCCCTTCGAACCTCCGACCGATGGACTGATGTGTTCAGCCCGCGGTCCCCAGAGGTCTCGGCCACTTCCCCAAGGACTAGTCCTTCGTCCCGGGGCCACTTCTGATGGCCCTGGGGCCCGAAAGTGGCCCAAGGAGGTCGAAATTAAGAAACACAACTCCGTCGTCGTCCGTCGTCGTCGTCCGTCGTCGTCGTCGTCGTCGTCGTCGTCGTCGTCGTCGTCGTCGTCGTCGTCGTCGTCGTCATCCTCGTCATCGTGGTCGCCGCCAGCGTCGTCGCCGCCGCCGCCGTCGTCGCCGTCGTCGCCGTCGTCGCCGTCGCCTTCGTCGCCGTCGTCGTTGCCGTCGTCGTCGCCGTCGCCGTCGCCGTCGCCGTCGTCGTCGCCGTCGCCGTCGTCGTCGCCGTCGTCGTCGTCGTCGCCGTCGTCGTCGTCGTCGCCGTCGTCGTCGTCGTCGTCTTCGTCTGCGTCCGGGCTTCCGCTCCTGAGCCCTGCCCAGGCGCCGCGCGAACCGCGGCGAGACCTCGAGGCCCGCGGCGGACGCCTCGCGGGCGATCGCCTCCGGCCCAGGCCCGGCGCGCGCCACCAGCCGCAGGGCGTCCGAGGCGCGGAGGGCTGGGGGGCCGCAGGCGCGGAGCAGGCAGGCGGCCTCGAGTTGTTTGTTTGCTTGCTTGCTTGCTTGCTTGTTTGTTTGTTTGTTTGTTTGTTTGTTAGGATTGCTGGTTGTTGTGGTTGCTGTTGCTGTTGCTGTTGCTGTTGCTGTCGTTGTTGTTGCTGTGGTTGTTTTTGTTATTGTGATTGTTGTTGCTGTTGCTGTTACTGCCCTGGCGTGTGTGTGTGTGTGTGGTGTGTGTGTGTGTGTGTGTGGTGTGTGTGTGTGTGTGTGACTGTGTGTGTTTGAGCGTTTGAATGCGCACGTTTTATGTTCATTCGCATCTGTAACACAGGGTGGCACAAATAAAGCGGGTCTTACGCGAGATGACGTGCGGCGCAGCGACCTCGCGCCGCGGCTCACGCGGGCCGCCAGCACGGCACACAGCAGCGGCGACGAGGGCGCCAACGCGCGACCACACGCGGGCAGCTCACGCGCCAAGGCGGGGAAAACGACCTCGTTTTCCTGCGTTGCTCAGTCGTTGCTACGCCTTCGGGGAGGGGGCACTCGCCGTCGCGGCTGGACGCGGCTCGACAACTGGCCAATAGGGGCCCCAGGGAGGGGCCAGATGGGTTGATCTCGAGCGAATCTTTCGAGGCTTGACAGACCCCCGTTTAGCAAAACACCGTAGAGGAACGCTGCCAAGGGCACTCCACGTGCGCACGGCACCGCATTTTGAGTGCACCCCAGTGGGGTAGCTAAACGCAACCGGATGCATCAAGCGAGACAAACGTCGATTAGCGAAACCAGCTGGGGACTGCACCGGTACACTGGAACGCCAATGTAGAAGAAACCAGTGCAGACTTCCTCGGTCGACTTCACTGCGTGAGCCTTCTCTCTCAAAGCGAGAGTCGTCCCGGGCGGTCCGGGTCTGGAGAGAGAGAGGCTGGCCTGGAGCTCCTCCACCGAGTGCTGGCCGAGGGCCTCCTGCAGGCGGACCTCCTGGCCGTCGCCGTCGCGCGACAGCCCCAGGAGCGTCCGAGGGCTGCCCAGCATCGCCGCCTCCCCGGTCGGGGACAGGCACGCGTCGACGTGACCGCAGATGGCCCCATGGCCGTCTGGCCGACCCAGGCTGGGGGACTCGGGGGCAACCAAACCGACCCTCACAGAACAAGGATCACTCGCTGCCGTCCTGGTCTGGGGAGGAAGGAGGCGGGAGGGGAGAACGGAAGAGGCAGTGGAAGAGGAACCAGAGATGGGATAACGGTAGGATTGGAGGGGGAGAGGAGGAGGGGAGGAGGACGTCATAATAATGGTGGGGAGTGTAATAACAACACATAAGAGGATTGTGTGAAGTGGGTGCGTAGGTTAGGGGGACGGGGATACGGACGGATGAGTAGAGCGAGGGAGGATAGGATGAATATGATAAGGAAGCGGAGAAGAGAAGGGGACACATGCAGGATGTACCTTAGGAAACAGGCAGGAGGAGCAGGAGGGGTCAGGAGGAGGTGATACTGATGCTGATGATCGGATGAGAACGATGAGTAGGTAATGGTGGGGATGAGGATGAAGAGGGGGAGTTGGGAGGATGACGAGGAGGAGAAGGAGGCGGACGAGGAAGAGGAGAAGGAGGAGAGGAGGAGGAGGAGGAGGAGGAGGAGGAGGAGGAGGAGGAGGAGGAGGCGGAGGCGGAGGAGGAGGAGGGGAGGAAGCGGAGGAGGAGGAGGAGGAGGAGGGAGGAGGAGGAGGAGGAGGAGGAGGAGGAGGAGGAGGAGGAGGCTGTGGACCGTGCGCCCGATCACTCGCCAGACTTTGGAAGCCGGGATTTTTGTCAATGCGGGCTCCCCAGAGGTCATTGCCTGTCCTGGAGGGTGTCCCGGCCAGAAGTCCGAGGGGGATCCAGACGTGGCCACGGGGGCGCCCCGGGAGGCTCAAGGGCATCCGGAAAACTCTTCGAGCATCGACCCTCGGACCTCGAGGATCGAGGTCGGGGGGTCCCTGTCCTCTGGGCGGCCAGACGGTCATCGGGGGATGGCCAGGAAGGCCGCCTGCGCAGCCGCGGAGCCGGGCGCCGTGATGCACCTGCGCGTGCGGGGGGCGAGACTGCGCGTCCAGCTTGACCTCGTCCACTCCTCCAGCCCCCTTCCTTTAAAAACTCTTCTTCCCTCTTCCTTTCCTCCCTGCATCACTCCTCCATCCCTCTTCCCTCTTAACAGAACTCCTCCCTGTCGCACACCCAGGCCCGTCGAAAGGGCGGGCTGGGCGTTTCGCCCGAGACTTCCTCACCATTTACGATCCTGCAGCTTAGCAGCTGCAACATCTTCGCCTCCGCGCCGCGCACATTCGCTTTCAAAGATTGCAGGAGTTTTTCGGATGGAAGGCTTCTCCTTTTCAAAATGTGGCTCTCGCCTCCGCGCCGCGCACTTTCGTTTTAAGAGCTTCCAGGAGTTTCAAGAATTCTCATGGTTCACGTCCCAGAAATGGTGTTTTGGCACGTCAGGGCGCAATCGTCACGCTGGTTCGCGTTGTTGGAGTCCCAGGAGTGGTGTTCTGGCACGGTTCAGGATCGCCAATACGCAACAGTCACGTTAATTTGCGGAGTTGAAAACCCAGGAGGATGTTCTGATACAGTTTCAGATGTTCAAGCGGTTGTCTCCCAGCGGGGTACTTCCCTCAATGAAACTGATCCCTTGTAGGGGCCTATTAAGAGGGAGCTTGGAGGAAGGGTTTATTGTGATATCGCTGATGAGTCTTGGGTTTGCACGGGCCCTCCCCCTCTTCCGCGGCGTTGCGCGGCCTTTGAGCAACTGAGCTGAAGTGTCAACGCGGCAACATACAGCGTAAACAATCACTTAGGTGCGGTGGCCTGAAGTTGTGCAAATAACACAAAGGAACTATAACCAGCTAGCAAGGGCATCGAGTGTGCGCGCAGCAGGTCGAGGAGGCCTGTTTCTCCTCTTCCTTCTCTTCCTCCTTCCGCGTTCTTCCCCTCCTCCTTCTCCTCCTCCTCCTCCTCCTCGTCCTCCTCGTCCTCCTCGTTCTCCTCGTTCTCCTCGTCCTCATCGCTCTCCTCGTCCTCCTCTTCCTCCTCGCATCATCCTGCCCTCCCTCCGTCGGGTACCTCCTGCCCTTCCTCTGCTGCTGCTGCTGCTACTGCTGCTGCGTCTGACTTGTCTCCTCCTCCTCCGCGCCACTAGCAGCAGGGGGCCTGACGCCCATCTCCTCGAGCTCACGCGCCAGGGCGGCCGCCATCTCAGGGGTCGCCCTGAGCGCCCGCGCGAAGCACCTCGCGGGACGCGCAGGTCGAGCCGACCACCTTGTCGTCGTCGTCGCCGTCGTTGTCATCGTCGTCGTCGCCACGTCGTCGTCGTTGCCGCCGCCGCTGCCGCCGCCGCCACCGCCGTCGTCGTCGTCGTCGTCGTCGTCGTCGTCGTCGTCGTCGTCGTCGTCGTCGTCGTCGTGCTCGTCGTCGTGGTCGTGGTCGTGGTCGTCGTCGTCGTCGCCGCCGCTGCCGCCGCCGTCGTCGTCGTCGTCGCCGCCGACGCCGCCGTCGTCGTCGTCGTCGTCGCCGTCGCCGCCACCATCGTCGTCGTAGTCGCCGTCATCGTCGTCGTAGTCGCCGTCGTCGTCGTCGGCGTCGTCGTCGTCGTCTTCGCCCCCGCTGTCGTCATCATCATCTTCGTCGTCGTCGTCGTTGTCATCGTCGTCGTCGTCGCCGTCGTCGGCGTGCTTGTGGTCGTGGTCGTGGTCGTGGTCGTGGTCGTCGTCATCCTCCTCCTCCTCCCCGTCCTCCTTCTCATTATCCCTCCGGGCGTGACGTACAAAGCGGGCGCGGCCGCAAGACGGCCGCGGGAAGTCACCGCGCAGCGCGCGAAGCGAAGAAACCCAGGGTACCCTGACGAAAAGCATCGGGTTTCGTAATGCGCGTCCCCACTGTACCGATGCGCCGTCCTCGCTTCCCTCCTCCTGTTTCTTCTGCTCCCCTGCTCCCTCCTCCTCCTCCTCCTCCTTCTCCTGTCCCCTGCTTCTGCAACAGGTCGAGGTGCTCGTGGTCGGCGTGCTCGTCGTCGTTGGCGTGCTCGTGGGCGTCATCGTCGTCCTCCTCCTCCTCCCCCCCATCCTTCTCGTTATCCCTGCGAGCGTGACGTATCGATGCGCCGTCCTCGCCCTCCTCCTTCTGTTTCTTCTGCTCCCCTGCTCCCGACTCCCCCAATTGAGCAGGGACCGACCGTCCCGGCATTCCTATAGGCCTACCATTAGGTCGGGCATGTCCTCGTACATGCGGATTTTGGAAGAAAAAAGGCAAAACATACTCGTACATCGTCAAATATACGCAAACAATTGTCCCCCGACATTTGTGTTGAACAAATACGATGTTTGAACATTCCTCCTGTAGAGGGACACGCCCGACTGAAACCTACCACGGAACCTTCTTCGAACCCAAACATGTTCTACGAGCAAGAACACTGTTCTAAGAACGTACTCCCGCTGTACTCAAAACAAGACAGCCCCAGCCAGAAATTGTCTAAAAGGACTTCGTGCAAACCGCAGAGGATTCTCAGAACGTTCCTCGGTGGGCCTCTCGGCAAGCCAGGGCGCTCCGCCACTGCCTGATTCTTCTGCTCCCCTGCTCCCGACCCCCCCACAGCATCCCCCAATTTGCACGCCCGAAATGGGTACCGAAAGAATGGGTACAATGCCCAACAGCAAATGTTGTCCCAAACCAACAGCGGCCGCTGTTGGGCAGGCGGCCTCCTGTCTCGAATGGACACAGGCCGCGGCGGCGTGGACAGCGAATCCTGTTCAGAATGAACAGGAACTGCTGTTGGACATTGTACCCACTCTTTCCGTGCCCATCTCGGGCGTCCAGATCCAAACCTCCCGAGGGCGTGGCCCCGGAGGCCTGGCCAACACCCCCTCGAACCGCGCCCCCGGACGCCTCCCGGGATCCCTCCTGGCCCGCCTTCCGAGCTGCGCCCCGCCGTCGCGACGAGGCCTCCCATCCCAGGCAACATCGAGGGGGGAGGGAGGAGGGGACCGAGGAGGAGGAAGAGGGGGGGAAGGAGGGGACGGAGGCGGGGCAGGGGAGGGGACCGAGGAGGAGGAGGAGGAGGAGGAGGAGGAGGAGGAGGAGGAGGAGGAGGAGGAGGAGGAAGAGGGGACTGAGGAGGGGGAGGCGGGGTGGGTGGAGGAGGGGGAGGAGGAAGAGGAGGCACGACGACCCAGGACGGCGCTTGCCTTGGAGGCAACGGGGCCCGGAGGGCCGAGGCCGCCCGCCGCCCTCGGATCCGGAGCCTCTCGCAGGGCCCGCCGAGGCCTCCCGCATGAGGCCTCCCGCGGAGGGCGCGCCTGTGCGCTCCGCCGCGGTCGCCGGCGCCCAAGCGGCGAAGGCCCTCCCGGCGCTGCTCCTCCCGGCGCTCCTGGCTCCGCGGGCCGCCGAGGGCTCCACGTCACCGTCGTCGTGGTCGGCGTCGTCGTCGTCGTCGTCGTCGCCGTCGTCGGCGTCGTCGTCGTCGTCGTCGTCGTCACCGCCGTCGTCGCCGTCGCCGTCGTCGTCGTCGTCGTCGTCGCAGTCAACGGCGTCGCCGTCGTCGTCGTCGTCGTCGTCGTCGTCGTCGTCGTCGTCGTCTTCGTCGTCGTCGTCGTCGTCGTCGTCACCGCCGTCGTCGATGTCGTCGTCGTCGTCGTCGTCGTCGTCGTCGTCGTCGTCGGGCTGCCGAAGGCTCCGCGTCGTCGTCGTCGTCGTCGCCGTCGCGGTCCTCCTGCGCCTCCCCCTTCACCCGTCCCCGTTTCGTCCTCTGCCCCGTCCTCGTCCTCGCGCTCTTACCCTGTTCATCTTCTCTATCGCCCCTGCTCTTCGTCGCTGTTCTCTTCCGCTTACCCCAAGGTTTGTTGCATTTCCCCTCCTCCCTCTCCTGCTCTTCGTGCTCTCAATCCTGATCCTCCCTCCCCTTTTGCTTTGACAGAAGTCGCTGTTCCAAGGTATGGGGACAACGCATGCTACCCACAAATACCAGAGGCCAACTAAGGTCCCAGTAGTAGGCTCGGGGACCAGAAGGTTAATCCTCCCAACCTTCACGAGCACCGCTTCAAGGATGATAGAGCCCATCTGCCCGACCCGACCAGGCATAATTATGCCCACCTCAAGGGCATCAACAATACACTAACATTCTCCTCCTCTTCCGACTCAATATCCTCCTCCTCCTCCTCCTCCTCCTCCTCCTCCTCCCCCTCCTCCTCTCGTCCCCTTCAGCCTCCCCTCCCCTCCCCCCTCCCCACTCCGTGTCCCGCCCCCTCACCTTCCCGCCCACCCCTTCGACAATTACGCACCATGAACTCTCTCCTCTCTTTACGCTACTACTGTCGACGTTTGTCCCGCCTATCCCGCATATGGCTTCCAAACGCGGGATTACTCAAATGTGTTGTTCGATCGTTTTCCCTTATCGGGGGAAGGAGGGAGAAAGGGGGAGGAGGGAGAGGAGGAGAAGGAGGAGGGAGAGGAGGGGGAGGAGGAGGAGGAGGAGGAGGAGGAGGAGGAGGAGGAGGAGGAGGAGGAGGAGGAGGAGTGCGGATGAGTGCGGGCCAAAACGGATCACGACCGCCTACGCTTTCGTGCCGTGGGAGCCTCGGGCCGCTTCGGGGCTCTCGCAACGCCGCTTTTGACGTATCCTTGCATTCGCAGAAGCGGTGCTCCCCCCAAAACGTTTGCTACGCTTGCTCATTTCCACTGAGCTCCTCTGCAATGGAACGACGCTCTTGCCACAACGCTGGTCGTTCTCGTGCATCAACAAAAATGTAGCCCCGGTTGCGTCCGCCGCCACGCTTATGTATTTATATGTGTGTGTCTATATATATATATGTATATATATATATATATCATCATGATTCATCCGTCCCACGGAACGAAGATCTCGCCGCCGTGCAGGTCGTACCATCGCATCCGCAAACATTGCGTTAGATCATTCGTAACATTTGCCACATTTCAAAACTAAATCCCCCTTTTGGGATCCATATCTTCTTCGACACTCGACTGTGCGAATGACGGGAGGGCTCACCTCGGCCCACCTCCACGGGAAGGAGAGGGAAAGTATGATGTCAGATATGGCACGAATGCACCAATCTTACCCGCCACATCCCAATCCTCCCCAGGGGAGCAAAAACTGCATTAACCCCACATAGCGCGCGGAGCGCGCCAGGGGGTCACAGCGCCAGTCTAAGAAATCCGAAAGGACCCCAGAAACATTGTGTTCGAGTCGATTTCCTTTCGTCCACTCCCCCCGGCCCATCCCCCCCCATCCTCCTCCACTTCGTCCCCACCCACCCTCCTCCGCCGACCTCGTCCTCGTCCCTCGTCCCTCGTCCCTCGTCCCTCCCCCTCCTCCTCCTCCTCCTCCTCCTCCTCCTCCTCCTCCATTTTTTGCGTTGAGCGGAAATTGAGGTGCGATGCTTGCTGCGCCCTGGCAGGGGTGGGTGCAGCGAGGCCGACCTGGGCCGCGCGCGAGACCATTCCGGCACGGCGGGCGCCGCAGGGCCGGGCAGGGCGCCGCAGACAAGTCAAACAGGCAGGCCCGAGAGGGCACGGAGCATGCGCTCGCCCTGTAGTGCAAGAGTCCTCCTCCTCCTCCTCCTCCACCTCCTCCTCCTCCTCCTCCTCCTCCTCCTCCTCCTCCTGCTCCATCCCCCTCCCCTGCTCCGCTCCCCCCCCCTTCTCCCCCTCCCCTTCCCGCTCCCTCCCCTCCCCCTCCCCCTTCACCCTCCCCTCGGAAGGAGGGGGGGTGGGAGGGGCGGGGGGAGGGCGCGGGGGGAGGGGAGGATAGGGGAGAGGAGGGGAGGGGGAGGGAGAGAGGGAGTGGGAGGGGGGAGTCCCCCTTCCCACCCCTTTTCCCCCTCCCCATCTGCCCGCCCCAGGGTCCGCCGACGCTGCCGCTCCTGACTGGGGCCGAGGGCCAGGGAGAGGAGGAAAGGGGGGACACGAGGCCGAAGGGGAAGGACGGGCCAAGGGAGAGGAGGAGGCAAGGGAGAGGCGGAGACAAGGGGGGGAGGAAGGGGAAGGCGAGGAAGGAGGGCTCCCGACGGGGGGCCGCGGGCAAGGACACGAGGCGGAGGGTCGGCGTCTCGAGGTGAAGGACTGCGCGGCTAGGGAGGGCGAAGTCGGGGACCCACCGAGGGCCTCAGCGGAGGTCGATCACGATCATGCCGTAGGCGAGCTTGTGGGTGGTTCGCAGGGCATGAGGGGGGAGGGGACACAGAGGGGAGGGGAGGACACGAACCTGGGTGAATAAGGGGGAGTGGTGGGGTGCAGGCGTTATGGGGGAGGGTGGCGGAGAGAAGAGGGAGGGGGGACGTGGAGGAGCATGAGGAGTGAGCAAGGTGGTGAAGAGGGGTTGGAATGAAGGGTACGGGAGGAGAGGGGCAGGAGGGAGGCAAGGTACAAGCGGAGGAGGACAACCAATTCAGGAAAAGTGGATGACCAGGACGAGCACGGGGGCGACGAGGATGCCGATGACGATGAATAGGTGGATGAGGAAACGGGAAGCATGAGGATTCCCAGACGACACCCTTCCAGGAGGAAAGAAAGAGACAGAGAGGAGGGGATGGGGAGTCTGGAGCGTCGGAGCGCGCGCGTGCGTGCGTGCGTGCGTGCGTGCGTGCGTGCGTGCGTGTGTGTGTGTGTGTGTGTGTGTGTGTGTGTTTGTTTGTTTGTTTGTTTGTTTGTTTGTGTGTGTGTGTGTCTGTGTGTGTGTGTGTGTGTGAGTGTGTGTGTGTGTGTGTGTCTGTGTGTGTGTGTGAGTGTGTGTGTGTGTGTGTGTGTGTGCGCGCGGATCTCCGACGGGGGAGCCCGGCGCCGAGGCGAGGAGGGGGACGGGGAGGGGGAGGGGGAGGCGGCGGAGGGGTCGCATGAGGATGACCACGCCGACGATGAAGATGACGACCGCGGCGAGGACGACGACGGGTGCTGATCGCGAAGATCACAACGACGATGATCGCAACGATCGAGGCATTCATTGAGGAGGGGTGACAGGGGCAGGGACGACGACGACGACGAGCAGGCGGTCCTGCCCGTGGTCGCCCTCGTCGTCCCCCGCGAGAACGAAGACGCACTCCGCGCCCCACTCGCGCAGCAGCAGCGCGCGCCGAGTGCAGTACGCGATGTGCGCGGTGCTGGGGACGACGGTGGCGGCTACGACGACGACGGGCGACGATGACGATGGACAGCAGACGGCCGACGACCCGTCGACGGCCCAACGACGGACAACGCCGACCATGGCGACGACCGCCGACGTCGGGAGATGACGACGACGGGGACGACGCTGGCGCTGACGAAAACGGCGACGAAGACGACGACGAGGGGCTCCTCTTCATCCTCGTCCTCCTCCTTCTCCTGCTGCTTCCCTCTTTGTTTGTGTGTATGTGTGTATGCATGTGTGTATGTGTGTGTGTGTGTGTGTGCGTGCAGTGGAATGCTGCCTGGTTCTGCGAGGACTGCCTCGTGCACCTCTGGGACGCCCGCCCGAGTCAGGTCAAGGCACTGCTCGAGAGGGACGAGCGCGCTCCACTGCTCGCAAGAGTAACTGCTCGCAGATGGCCTGGATCCGCCGTGGGGCATCTACGATCACCTGCATCGGAGCAGACACGTGTGTTTTTTCGGGCGTTCGCGAGTAATTAAGCACTTTGCGAGTGGTGGAGCGCGCTCGGTGACAGAAGGGGCAAGAAGTTGCCGCTCCCCGCGTCGGCGCCCACCTCGCCAGCTCACCCCCGGGGCAAGCCACTTCTGCCACCCCAAGAGGGCAACCGGCAGCTGCCACCAGCCAGCGCACGCGACCGCGCGCCCGACCCGCCAGGCCCCCCGGGAGGGCCCTGACCCGGGGCCGCGGGGGGGACTAGCTCATAGGCTGCCCCCCCAGGCTGCACAGTTTTGATCCGCGGGTCGAGAGCGCACCTCTTCCGGTCGAAGCTAAGCAGGCCGCGCGAAGCTTGAATTAACAAAGAGGGGGAGGAGCCCCCCAGGCTACACAGCCACAGCCGCTCCATTCTCCCCCAGCTGCGTTGCGGCGCCAGCAGAATCGCAGTCCAGCGCGCCGTCGGCCTCGCGGCTCGGGCACCCCCAGCTCGGCCACCGCCAGCAGACCACCCAGGCGCACGTCAACCCCGCGCGCGTCCACCAACCACTCCTCCGACAGCCGTTCGGTATCCTGGCGGCCCCCAGGCCAGCTCCAGCTGCACCGACGCACCTAGGTCCTCCACACCTCCACCCAACCGTCGACGTACCTCGTCGCCTGGGCATCGCCGTGCACACTACCGCAGCGCCCCTGCCCACACACAAGCCAGGCGCAGCCGCCCCTCCTCGGCCCGAAGGACAGGTGGCAACGCCCTGGACAGGCTGCCAACGCCGCCCCCGCGGCCTCCTGCCAGCCTCTTGGACGACCTCCCCAGCATTGATCCACCGCCCTGCCCCCCCTCTCAAGGTGAGGGGCATGGCGTCTCTAGAGGCAGGCGGACACATCCTTCCTGATCCCTCGGCCGGGAAGGCAGACGACACTGTTGCCCACATACTCGTGGCATTAGCCCGCTCCGTATCTCCCCTGATCGACGAGCGCTGGAGGGCCTGGACGGTGGAGAACAGGTCCTCCTTTCTCTGCAGGCAGGCAGGTCCGGGAGCACCTGCTGACCCCAGGGCCTGGCCCGCATCGAGCTGCCAGAAATACCTTGCCACCATCTACGGCGGTTCCATTCCGCCGTCAGGGCTCCCCCCAGGTGTCCATGTCTACGGTAAGCGCGCCACTCTGGCTCTGCTAGTCAGTCACCTTCACCGCCAGTGGCGCCACGACCTCACCAGCGGTCCCAGCGGACCCGACGAATGGGACGCATACCGCAACAAGCACGACCCCCAGGCGTCCCTGCGAAAGGGCGAGACCCCGCGTGGTACAGCCAGGAGATCCTGCTCGGCTACCTGAGCTCCAGGGGCACCACTTGCCTTCAGGACCCACAGCTTCGGGGGGCGTTCCTGCAACTGCGGCGAGAAGGAGACAGACCCTCTCGGCCGCCTCCAGCGGTGCTCCCCCGCAGGTGGCGCCTGCCCACCCACGGAGCATGGAAGCCCGGGTGGATGGAGGGAGCGGCCAGCCCAACGACCCTGCGCCGTGCCCCGCGCGGAGGCTCGGGCCGCCGCCGCCCCCCGCCCCCCCCCGAGGCGCGAGCCAGACGACCCGTTCGACTGTGACCCTGCCCCCCCGTCGCGGAGGTCCAGGTCATCGCCCAGCGGCAGCGAGGATGGGCGCGCGCGACTGTCTGAAGCGCCAAACGCCACCGGCGGGGTAGGGCGCAAGCGGCGCGACAGCAGCTCCAGCCCCCCCTCGGCGTCGCGCGCTGGCTGCAACTCAGCCGGCTGCGACTGGAGCCCACAGGAGCGACGCCCCTCGGGCAGCCCTGCGCTCAGCAATGGCGAGAGGCGGCGTAGCCCGAGCGGCTCTCCACAGCCGCCCAGAGACACGCGCCCGTCTCCCAGCCCCGACCGCAGACAGGCGCTGCAGGCCGAGCCGTGTGACGAGGGCGCCTCGCGAGGCGGCGGGGGAGAGCCTGTACGCAGGACCCCCCGTAGAGATGAGCAGCACAGCACAGGAGCTTCCAGGGGGGGTCGTGGGAACGATGCTGTGGAACGGGTCCCGCCACGGCGGCAGGCCGAACTTCCCCTTCGCACCCCTGTTCCCCCTCGCGACTACACCCCCCATCACGACGCCTCGGATCAGCTCTACTACAAGGCGCGGCGAAAGGTGCTGTGGCAACCTGGCTGGAACCATAACACCAATAAGAGAGAGAGTCCTGGCAGGATGTAGTCAACCGCCTCAAAAAATGCGGCCCCATGCTGGCGATTGGCTGGAACGCCGTTTGCGACCGCAAGCTTGGGCAACACTCGTCCAAGGACCCCAGCCGGCACAAAACCGACTTCTGTGAAGGCTTTGTTTCTGACGTCAGCCAGGCCAACTACGATGTCCGCACCCTCTGCTGTTGGAGGGGCATCCATGTCGACTGGGACGCTGAGCGGGAGCGTGAACTGGAAAAGAGGAGGCAAAGTGCGGCGGCAGCCAAGGGCAAAGGACAGGCCCCCCCCCGCCGCAGGGGAAGGGCAAACGTCCCGCCGACTCCTCATGGCCCAGCTACGACCCCACTCGCCAGCAGTGGTCCGGGGCGCCCAGCAACGACCCCACTCGCCAGCGGTGCGGCGCGCAGTCAGCACTGGTAGCTCCCTCGACATGGCAGGCGCGCCCGCCTCGACCTGTTCTGGGCTCCCCGCGCTGCTCCCCCGCGCCGCCCCGTGGCCCGGCCTCCCGGCCCGCACGGGGCCTGCCTGCCCTTTGTGGCCCGCCAGCTGCTGTCGCCACTTCCCACTCCGCGGGGCCGGCAGCGGCCGGCTGGCCGTCCCCTCCGGCTCTGCGCTCCCAGCCCGCGGTCCCTGGGCGCTGGCTCTCCCCCCCTTTTTTTCGCCGCATCGCTGCACCTATTCGGTGCCCCCCCCCCCCCCGCGTGCCTCAGGCTGCCGCCAAAGCTACGCTCGCGCTCTCTCCGCCCGGCCGGCTGCGGTCCAGGCCCAGCGGTGTAGCTATCGGCTGCGCCGCCCTCCTTCCAGGACTTGGCCGCTGCGCACGCCGCGGGCGGGCCGGTCTTGCCGCCCGCCGTGGGCTCCCGCGCACCTTCACTGCCCCCCGGGGCGCCTTTTCCCCTGCCGCAACATGCCCTGCCCGGCCGCTGCAGGCCCCCGCCTATTGGCCGGGGGCTCGCCGGCCTCCTGCAGACTCTTGTCCGGGCGGTGCCCGTGGCGCCCTCCGCCGCTCTGCCGCGCCTCCGGCCAGGCTGGCGGCATGCCTCGGCAGCCGCGCCGGGCCCCCGCCTCGCCCGCCCTGAGGTCTTCGGGTCGGCCTCTCGCCCACGCACCGGCCGCCCAGCTTGGCCGTAGTCGACTGCTGCAGCGCAGCCGTGGCGCAGCAGTGCCCTGCCCGCCCCCCTCTCCCCGCGCCTCGGAGGCCACAGGGTCTCGGCGCCCGCCCGCCTCGCTCGCCGGGCCCTTCCCAGCTGCGCGCCGCGCCCACATGTCGGTGTGGTCCCAGTTCCCTGTCACG